ACCATGATCTTGTTCCTTGACAATAACCAACTTTTGACCAAACTGTTTTCCTATTTAAAGCAAAACATGGCCAACAACGATGAGGCTGGCGGTTCGGGCGGCAAGCAATTCTGGGAGCTGTCCCAGGAGATGGAGGAACAACCTCACCGCTATGAGGACGCTGCGGAAGACACCGATCCTGATTACACAACCCCTAGTGGCGTCGGGGATGACACCACTGATGGTGCCGCCGAGGATGCCACCACTGATGATGGCGGCGCACACACAGATGGCAGCCAACCGAAGAAGCAAAGGAAGGACCGGCGCCCGAATGCGCTCCACACCCTCAAGGAGGAATTCACTCAAGTGGACTCCGACGGGAATCCAACGGAGCCCAAACATATAGTCAAGGGGTACTCGGTTCAGCTCGGGTGCATTCTCCATAGCACTGTCTCGATCAACACCGAGAACCTTAGGCATAAGGACCGAGGGAATTTGCGCAACCTCCTCTTCACGAAGCTGCACGAACGATACAAGTTCCCCGCTGAATTTGAAAACACACACCTCTCAGGGAATAAAGTGAACAGTGCCGCCCTCACGAAGATGAGCACGGGCCTGTCTACTTGGAGAAGCGCGTCGAAGAGAATGATTGATAAAGGTGATAGTTATGAGAAGATCAAGGCGAAATATCCTTTGATGAGCAAAGATGACTACAAGGACTTCAAGATAAAGTGCGAGAGCAGTGCAACCACCGAATCAAGTCAGTGGGGGAAAGAAATGCGGGAGTTGAACTTAGGGAACACAAACTCGGTCCCGGCGGTTACAGAGTGGCGGAGCCTATATGGGACAAGGAGGACGCGGAGCGTGCCGAGCAAGGCCTACCGCCCCGCTTTGAGAAATATAGCGGTAACAAGCAGACCAGGAACTATGTCAGGGCCCGGTACAAGGAGGACCCGATAACAAAGGAGCTTACCACGGATCCGAAGACCAGGGCGCTTGAGCTTGTTCTGGTAAGGAATACACCCCCGCGTAATTAGCTCCATATGGTTGCACTCTAACTAATCCCCAATATTTCTAAATGGTTCACGTTCCTTTCGCAGGAAACTGAAAGCAGTAGCGCGGGATCGTCTCAGAGCTCCCCTTTCGACAGCCCTTTAAATAGGGCGTTGAACATAATGAAAAGCAAGGATAAGCTCACTAAGCCGACGTCAGCTGGTCGTGTGGCCGACAAAGGCTTGTCCACAAAATGGGGGTCATACTATACCGCTGGTGTGCGGAAGGAGAAAAAGGCCAGCTCGGAAAGCCAGACGCGCGAGGTTGAAGCACTCAAGGCACAAGTGGCGTGGATTCCGGAGCTTGTCCAAGAGCAAGTGGAACAACAACTGGGAACGAAGCTCAACGCCATGGTGCCTACGTTGATTCATGGGCTGACGACGTGGATTGCGGGCGGCCAACAGGGGCCTCCCCTGGTTCCCAGCTTCACGTCCAGCAACTCGCACAATGCGCAGGCGGCGCCATTTGTGTCTCTGGCGGCGCCATTGGTGTCTCCGGCGGAGGCGGTATTCGTGTCTCCGGCGCCGGCACGGGCATTGGAGCTTAATGCACCCGGGTGTACGCCGGCCGGCACCTCGCCAGCAAGCTCCCCCTCCGTCAGTTGCATGTCCGCCGTTGGCGGTGCCTCGACGTTAGCCGAGCTCGACGGCATCACGGTAACTATGCCTCTCGGCCGATGACTTCATCTCCTTGCCTTTGACTAGGCATCCCTGACGCCCTGTACATGTTTTCGCAGGGCACCGCCGACGTTCCTTGCACTCTTCTGCACTTCCTGGGCGCCGAGTTGGTCGATGTCGCCAAGGGAAGAATCGTTCAACCGGGCAACCGCATGTTCCACGGTAATCCGATGCCACCCACAGTGTATAGGGTTGAAGTGGTTCGGGTGCTGCCAGGCTGCGACGAGCTGTTACCTCCGGTTCGACCCGCTGGGGCCGACGAAGAAGATGAGATGACCCTCAGCGCCTGAGTAAAGTGGCCGCTGCTTTGGTCGAAGAGCCAGATTCGTTTGGTGGCCGGGGACACCACCCCACAGACAAGACCGCCAGTCGTGCCGGCGCCAAGCCATGGCAAGAACGCCGCAACGCTACCGGACCTGTCGGACATCCCTATGTCGGACATCCCTATGGCACAGGATCCGGACAGCCCTATGGCACAGGATTCGGACGACGATGACAACGACGACGATACATTTACCAAAGTCGATAAGTACTTTGCCGAACATGGGTACGCTGATGAGTTCTGCGGGCCTCTTTCTCAAGAACCCAACCAAGACGACCGCGATCTAGCTGGTACGGTGGAGAAATCCAATTGCAATAGGCGTCGTCTGCCGTTCAGTTCTCAGGAGACGCCTCCAGCTCCCGCCTTCACCGAGCCTTAGATAGCTGAGGTGCGAAATATTATCAGCCCCAACACGCTAAAGAAAGCGGTCTGTGAGCAGAACTCGGTCCCATTACAGGAGATCAAGAAGAAGGGACGGAAACAAAAGACTAACAAGGGCGCCAGTGCGAGCCAGCCGACACCGAGTTTGATCCGTGCTCAGGACGGGCCACCTTCACCTAAGGATATCTCGAGGATGGTGCATGTGGCGGGTAGGGCGATGCTACCGCGAAATATGCTGAATGCTGCAACCGGTGCTATGCGGAGTCTGCACGACAGTGTTCTTTCTTTGGAGAAGCGGCGTCTGAGAGAGAATGATGTGGCATACCCGGTTTTCGTGGCCAAGGTGCCAGAGGGCAAGGTCTTTGCGGACGGGGGTACGATCGTTTTGCGGTTTGATGACATCTTTGCTATGTTTAACCTTCATCCGCTGCACTACACCTTCGTTCAGCTGTTTTCGCTGAGTATGGAGATGCTGATCATTAGAGACAAGACCCCGGACATCGTGATAGTCGACCCCTTCTACATGCGTGCCAAGCACTTGAACAACGCTGGGGACCGCCAAGTTGCGAGTTCACACCTCGAAGGCGTCATTCTGGCAAACCCAGATAAGGATAACTTCCTTGTGGCTTACTTTCCCGAGTAAGTCATCCCTTAACCGCCCCGTAACATATGATTTCTTAGATTTTGATCATTTTTTTTCTAACATTCCGTGTTCTGTGCAGTGACACACATTGCACACTCATCCTCTTAAGCCTGAAATATTCCATGGCCACGTATTTCGACCCGAACCGTAACTCCAAGATAGACTACACAAATGTCAAGAAAGTTCTTGATGATGTTCTCCCCGGCTACGCCAAATCTAGAGGCACCTTCACCAGGGCTGTTCGTAAGTACGGCAAGCACATGTTCTCACACAATACGAAGTTCTGCTGTGTCAAGCAGCCGCCTGGCGGTCAGAAGGATGCCTACTACGCCCTCCATCACATGCGGGCGATCGTAAGGGACCATCATCAACTTCTGCTACCAGATAATCTCAAAGATTGGGCCACGAGCTTGTCGGCAGTCCAGGACGCGGACCTCAGACAAGAATTCTTTCGCAACCAGCCGGAGTTTGCGGACATCATCCATCAAGATGTCCTTCATACCTCGGGGCAGTTCTTCGTCAGATATCAACCGTCCAACAGTGAGATAGATGAAACGCTACAAATGCAGGGTGACAACGACCACGATTTCATGACCATCACGACAGATGGCGGCTTCATCCACGCTCCTGTCCGATGAGTCGAGTCGAAAGTAGTGATGTGTAGTTCTGAAACATTGATTAGCTCATGTTGTAATTAAACTTTAATGAATTTGTATGTCTCTTTGGTTCGGACAGTCGTTCAACTTAGATGTAATCGATGCTATTTATTAGTAGGACCATGAATCGTGCTATTAATGTCTTGCTTTTCTCTTTCGATCCTTTTGTTGCATACTTACATATTGCTTATGTATTGTCTGTTGTTTGGCTTGTGCATAGAGATGCCGTCGTATGTCGTGTACAAGGGTAAGGTTCCCGGAGTCTACGATGACTGGGAGGAGTGTCGGAGACAGGTTCACCGTTTCAGCGGTAACAGTTACAAAGGGTACACCACTAGGGCGGAGGCCGAATCTAGATATGCCCGCTATCTAGCGGGAGAGAGGAGGGAGCGTTGAAGGAACCGGATGAGGACCAGTTTGATCGCGATGATGCTCATCGTGATGACCACAACTCTCTTTTATGTGATGGTAGTTTAGATGATTGATATCGACTTGTAATGTGAAGACAAACTCGATACTCGCGGTCTTGAGACTTGTAATGTTTTATCTTTGTTCGGTCTTTTGAATTCGGAGACTAATATGATGAATTGTATTCAGAGACTAATCCTCTATTGTATTCGATGAATCTGATGTTGCTGTGTGCTGCTGTCTATATTCTGTCCAATAATATATTTTATAACCTGTGCAAAAATCAAAAAAGCAAAAAAAACAACCAAATATTCATACTAATGGCGCATCAAGGCAGAGTGCCCTATTAGTATGCCAAAGGATACTAATGGCGCATCTTTGCAGAGTGCGCCATTAGTGTGACAAAGCACATGGTTACATATGGCCCCCCGGGAGGCATACTAATGGCGCATGGTGTTACATACTAATGGCGCACTGGCAGGTGCGCCATTAGTATACCAGATACTAATGGCGCACCATTAGTAAAAAATTCTAATGGCGTGCTACTAATGGCGCACCGGTAGTGCGCCATTAGTAGGCAAAACCGGTGCGCCATTAGTAGGCCTTTTCCTAGTAGTGTGGAGAGCTAGGTGGATCACCGTGTCCAAGCTCAGAGACCTCAGCGGTGCTTCATGGGATGAGGACACCTGCTCGATCCTTCTGAAGGCAGAGCACTACCAAGGCCACATCATGGTTAGCTCAGAAACCATGTCATTCTAACAGACCAGCAGATCAAGCCTATGAACCATTGCCATACTAACTAACATGTTTGCCCTGTTTCTTCTTAGGCTCACCCCAAGGACGCAGAATTCCTCAACACCCCTATCCAGAACTACCACCAGATGCTGCAAATCATCTCCTTTGGGCTGGCAAACAGCAAGCATGCCATGGGCTCTGGTCAGCTGCTGGGCTCGCCGATGTCGGAGTATCTAGACACCCAGAAGTCAGACACCATCAACATTGATGCTCCTGAGAAGGATGGTGAGCATGTTCATGTGCTTCATAGGAAGAGGAAGCGGGCAGGCTTCATGGAGGAGGAGCTGAGCGTCTTCAACAGCATGACTGAGGCAGTGAAGGAGGTGGCCACCGCCATCAGGGAGAGCAAGAGTGTGGACGTCCACCCTAAACTCTACAACGCCGTCATGGATCAGATTGGCTTCAGCCCAGAGGCTCTCATGGTGGCTCTCAACCACCTACTGGACAACAAATCTCGGGGTGTTGGGTTTGTTGCCACGGATTGATCATGGATGTCAATTCTCTGAATTCACAGTTAGTTGTGTCAACCGCAGCAGAAACGGCCTAGCGCAAGGATTAGCAGCACGGACCAGATCCTTCCGTAATCGGAAGATGCTCGCCAATGTACCGGAAAGCCATCACCCTCTGATGATCGCAGAATGTACTGGTTCTTCAGAGTAGAGCTTCTCTACTCTAGTCTCAAAAAAAGAACCCAGTATGCGTGCATACCAGGAAATGCTGATTTTTTTTTTTGCGGGTAAGGAAATGCTGATTGTTCAGGCCTCTAGAAAAAGTTGTTTCTTACATTTGGTTCTTCACTTCAGACATGCTTCTTCCATGCCTTAAACTCTTGATGTTGCATCTTATATTTAAATGCACTATGTTTCTTTTTCATCTATAGCTACTGGACGAGCATCTATCGGCACTTTATGAACAAAACATATTTTCTCAAGAAAGTTTAGATAGAAGGTATCCTCCGCAACCGACAAGCATAAGTTACTCCTTCCCTCTAAAAATAAGTGGCTCAACACTTTATACTAAAGTCAGTACAAAGTTAAGACACTTATTTTGAGGCGGAAAAAGTAATTGATGTGTGAAATGAATCAATTCCGTATTCTTGACCTACACAATATTTTTTTTTTCGAAAAGGACCTACACAATAAATAGTACTCCCGGACTCATTTGTGTTGCTTACGATAGGGTACATTGTGTACATTACTTCTTCAACGACTTTCCCATCCATAGCAACATCCACTCTCCTATAAATCGTTCGCTTAACAGCTCGAGAATTTCATAGTCCACACCTCAGCCTCACATCTTAGCATGAATTTTAACAAGTTTGCTTGTACATAAGAAAATAGACGATTAGTTACAAAGAGCATGCCAGTGCTATAGTAATCTAATGCTTAATAGTGGTCCCTGGTGAAAAGGTTTCAGAATGAAAGGCATCGGGATACATGATACATGTGAGAACGAGAGAGTGGGCTGAAGAAATTTCGACTCGGGCAGTAATGTCGTTTAGTCCGATATGATTTTAAGATAGATTAGGAGCATCGACAGGCTCGTACCTTGGCTTCCCGGCTATGCTCCTTGTGCCTGTCATGCTTCCTGTACGTCAACGAACAGATCCTTCCAGGGGATATTTTCGGTCATATTTCTGACCTTTTTCTACGTTTCTAGATGTTCATAGGTCCATCGACCATGACTTGTCCTTCTCCATGTCTTGTGTCTTCTTGTTCAGTAGATTATTGTAAAAATAAAACAATTCATTTCTTTTTCTTTTGCCTTCTCGTTAAATCACTTTAATTTTAAAAATAAAATCATTTTCATTTCTCAGGATAGATTACGTAATAAGTTAAAGGCTTGAAGCAAGCCAACTACTCCAATAGTAGCAGAAGAAGGTGAGGTGGGGCGAGAGTGCTCAATTACGAGGGCAAAAAGGCTAGCAAGGCGACACTTGTCCCCAGCCGCTACCTCAATCAGGTGCTCCACTCGTGCTCCCTCTTCCCACCCGAGCTTGCGACCTTGCTCTGTGCACCACCTCCGCTCCAGCGGCGATGAGACCCTAGGCCCAGATGGCTTCCTCCACATTGGCCTCTCCTCCTCCGCGTGTCAACTGCAATCCTCAAGTGTGCCCAGCAGCAGCAGCCACCGCCGCTCCAGTGTCGTGCCGTGTCGATCTCGCGGCTTGCTGTCAGGCAGTGGCGACTCGGTACGTATTATGTTTTACGGACAACTTGCACCAGCTCTTCACCGTTCACATCGTGAAAGAGCATGGCAAGCAATCACTTGAACCGTCATCGTCGTCGTTGTTTCATCAAGGGTGGCCGAGAGGCTGTAGGCAGGTGTGGTGGTCACCGGGAGCGGGCTCGAAGGGCTCTGCTGCGCAGGCCTCCTGGCAAGTTTCTTGAGAAAACATATTTTCTCAAGAAATTTTAGATAAGAAGTATCCTCCACAATCGAATATCCATTTCTAAGCCCGGACTCGTCTGCATCCGGTGAACAATATTATAAATGTGATGTGTACATATTATTATAAATGTGACGTGTGAAATAAATCAATTTCATATCACTTCCCTATACAATAAGTAGTGTCCGACTCATATCTGCTCCCACGATACATGGCATATATTATTTCTTAACCCACTTTCCCACCCATATTAACATCCTCACCTATATAAAGCCTTCACTTCTTTGCTCGTGAATTTCATATTCTACGCTCCACACTTACACCTTAGCCTGAATATAACAGGTTTTCTTACACATCGAGAAATTAGCCGATTAGTTACATGAGTGTGTCAATGCTATATTCATTTCATGCTTAAAATAGTGGTTCCCAGTCAAGAACATGGCGAAGAGCTTTGAGAATGAAAGGCATAGGGATAAATGATACGCTGGAGGATGAGAAAGAGGGCTGAAGAAATGAGGACTCGTCCAAGAATTCCTTTCGATCCTCTATGATATTACAATAAATTAGGACAACAGACGCATGCCTTGCCTTCCAGGCAGTGCTCCTTGTTCAGCTGCCGACGTGAGTACACCATGTTCCCGCCCCCACCGGCCCCTCGTCACTCGGGTACGTATTAATCATTAACCCTCCACTCGCACTGGATTTTCGCCGTTCAAACCGTGTAAGAGCTCATCAGGCAATCACTTCGGCCGTCATCGTCGTCGTCATTGTCTTTACCATTCGTTCAGGGTGGCGAAGAGGCCGGAGGTGGACGTGGTGGTGATCGGGAGTGGGCTCGGGGGGCTCTGCTGCGCGGGGCTGCTGGCAAGGTACGGCCAGGATGCGGTGGTTCTGCAGAGCAAGAACCCCCCCCCCCTCCCCTCCCCCCAGCGCAGTTCGACGTCAAGAGTTTCACTTTGACTCCGGCCCCTCGCTCTTCTCCGCCTTCCAGTCCAGAGGCCCCCAGGCCAACCCCCTCGCCCAGGTCACCCTCCATTGATTGATTCCTCTGCAAATAACAGATGAGAAGAACTCAACTGGGAGTTTCTTTCAGAGAAATCATTAACTGTCTGAACTAAAGTTATTGATGTTCTTGAAGATCTATTCGATGTAATCCTGTTTTACGGTGTGTTTACTGAGATCGGTTGAGTTGTGGATTTATGACCAGATTATGTATGAATATTATTTGTTTCTTCTCTAAACTCTTTTATGCATGATTAAGATAGAATTGTATTTCTCTCTGATCTATTGATTTGGTTTAGCCAACTAGACTGATTTGGGAGAGGTGGTTTGTAATGGGTTCAATCTTGTGGCGATTATTCCCAGTGACAGAAGGGGACATGACACGTATTTATATTGTTGCCATTAAGGATAAAAAGGTGAAGTTTTTTCATATTGATTGGATATATCCTTTTATATCATCTCATCTTCCTTAAGGCGTTACTCCGTTCTTGTTAAGTTAATACACTAGATGCATGCTGGATAGCGGTTGATGTTGGAGTAATAGTAGTAGATGCAGGCAGGAGTTGGTCTACTTTTCACGGACGTGATGCCTATATTCATGATCATTGCCTTAGATATCGTCATAACTTTGCGCTTTTCTATCAATTCCTCAACAATAATTTTTTTACCCATCGTATGCGTTCATTCAAGAGAGAAGCCTCTAGTGAAAACTATGGCCCCTCACTAGTACAAATAGGCTCTTTAGTCCCGGTTCTGGAACCGGGACTAAAGGGTCGTTACTAAAGCCTCCTCCTTTAGTCCCGGTTCTTACACGAACCGGGACTAAAGGCCGTCCACGTAGCCGCTGCCTGGAGGTTCACCTTTAGTCCCGGTTGGTAACACCAACCGGTACTAAAGGAAATTTTATGATTTTTTTTTAAATTTTTATTTTTTTTATTTTTTTATTTTCAAATTTCTGAATTATTTTAACCTCTAATCTTTAATCATCCTCATCACTGCTCAATTTAACCTCTAATCTCTAATCACCACTCATCATTCCAAATCATCTAACTTCCCGGACGGTCACCCGTCTCACTACTCCAGCCTGAGCACGCTTAACTTCCGGGTTCTATTCTCCCTCGTTTCCAAGTCTACGCTTGTTGTTTTCCTCACAATAGTAAGATGTCAATCCTATTAACCCTCAGGAATTTAGCTTGAGCATGAAGTCACACATTTCATTGTTTGAGTTTGAAATTATTGTTCTAAAAAACAATAATTATTTAGTTACACTAATATTTCTTGAATAAGTAGTTTGACCATAGTTTGACCATAGTTTGACCACATTTTGACCACAGTTTGACCAGATTTGACCAAAATTCAAAAACACGGAAATAATTATTTAGTAACACTAATATTTCTTGAATAAGTAGTTTGACCATTATTTGACCACAATTTGACTAGATTTGACCAAAATTCAAGAAAACTGGAATAATTATTTAGTAACACTAATATTCTTGAATAATTGTTTAGTAACCCTAAAACTTCTTGAATAAGTAGTTTGACCAGATTTAACAAAAATAAAAAAATAAAAAAAACTGAAATTTGAGCATAAATTTTTTCCTTTTAGAATTTGAGGATTCTAAAAAATTTCAAACAGGCCGTAGGCGGTCAAAATCGGATGCGGATTTTCGTGCTGAACATTTTGATATATTATACGTTTTTTCTGACATAGTATGCAAAAGTTATAGCCGTTTTACATTTTCCCTACACTTTTTGCAAAACATGTCCAAATTTAACTTTTTAAATTTTCCTAACTAGTAGATGTAGTAACATAACTACATCTCGAAGGATTTATATTTTTGAAGTTTTTATCATTTTCTTTTGCTTTTTACAAAACTGAAAAGGCGATCCACAGGGTGGGGGGTACAATTTGAAAATGGGACCTTTAGTACCAGTTCGTGCCACGAACCGGTACTAATGCCTCAAACCTCATTAGTACCGGTTTGTGCCACGAACCGGTACTAAAGGTCGCACCCATTAGTACCGGTTTGTGGCACCAACCGGGACTAAAGGTCCCATTTGAACTGGGACTAATGCCTTTGCCGCATGAACCGG